CACCAGGTGGCACAGAACTGGGCACCTGCCAGGACTCAGAGGAGGGACCAGCTCCTCCCAGTCTTAAAGACAGATTCAGCTGGAGCATGCTGGTGTATAGAGCCAGCTCCACAGTTCAGAAGCTGATACAGCTGATGTGAGAGACAGATTTCAGCCTCAGTCTCTAGCTGTAAAGGTATGGTCTGAGTCAGGAAATGGGATGGACAACACTGCTGGCATAGGATATGAAAAGTATGGCCACAGAGAGCAAGGCTCATATAGTTGCACAGGCAGAAAATTAGCTCAGCCAGTTTAGAAACATAGGGTCAGATCTTGAAGGGCTCAACACCTGCCAACTCATGTTTTGCAAACAGTCTGTCCCAGAAAACAGAGGAGCACTTTGGTTTCCAGCAGAGAAAGCAAGGCAAGCTGGGCCAGCATCACCACTAAAGTTTACAAAGGCCTCCAAAAACTCCCTTCTCAACAGAAGTGTTTTTATTCTTACGGCTGGCTCGTTTTGGAGAAGCATTATCCAGAGCAGGGTCAGGAAACAGAGTCTCCCAACCCTCAGCAGACAGCTGTGAGACTGCTATGAAGGAAATACTTTTGCTAAATGATCTGGTGGAAAAGAATGATCTTCATTTGGAAGATAAAAGCAAAATGCATTACCATGTAGTAGGATCTAACCGGAGAACCACATCTAGTGGAAGAGCAATATTTCTCTGCAGTAGTACTTTCCTGCAGCAAGGCTAACAGGTCCCATGTACGACCATGGCTTGGAGAATAGATGTTGCCACAACTCCAGAAGGGTGGAGATGGGTAGGGGCTACAAAGTGAAGCTGCAGATCCATGAACAGGCAAAGCACTGTGCCTAGATCCAAACTCCTCAGCACTCTGACTGATTGGGACTGGCATTTCAGTTTCCACTGCATGTAAGCACTGAGTTCAGCTGTAAAGTCTGGTCCTGCAGCAAAAATGTTAAGAGGATGCCTACCATGAGCCTAGGGTGAGAAGCAGAGCTGTGACACCCTAGAGCTTAAAGTATGCTGAGTTCAGGATGTGCAATGCAGAAATCCTGGGACTCTGGGCTCCCATTCTTTTTAGCTTCATAGCCACACTCAAGCACTGTATTTTTCTTAATGTTAGCTTTTATGGGCCTTGTTAGCATTTCTATGAAACCCAAAAGGGTATTTCAACTCAGACACAAGCTTGCTTGCAGCAGAAACCCTCATCTTCACTGGCTGGAGGGCAGATTCATTAGGTTCCTAAAACCAGGGGGTGGTAAAATATTCTCCCTGAAACAAAGCCATTGGTTACCTGCTCGGAACATAGCAAACGTGCCACTTCTGCTCTTTCCCCTAGCAGGCCTCCATACAGCTCCTGTCGACAGCTATGGAAACATTCTCACAGATCACCACTGGAGCTGGAGGAGGGCCTTATATAGAGACTTCTTTGCCTTCCCTTTGCCCTAAGCCCTTCACAGAAGTACTTTATTGTTTTATGACAGTGCAGTAACACTTGACATAAATTTCTAAGCACACCTAACAATGTCAATACTGTGTAAATATCTGCAGTAGAGACCCATACTTTTATTGTAATTTCACTCTTCTTTTCTTGCTATCACCCAGGGTTAACTCTGTGCTGAACACAACATGCAGTCCTGCAGATTTTACAAGTAATCCACCAATTTTATAAACCTGCTACAGCTCGCATCTCTAAACACTGAAAACTCAGGTCTAGTTCTTTCAAAACTGTAGCTTTCATCGAAGACAGAGGAACTTGTATATGCTTAAAGGACCGATCATGCCATCTGTTAAATCACAGATGAACATTCTTCAAAAGTGCAGAGTCCAAGCCAGAACAGGACATTTTGCAATAAGCACACAACAAACAACATCCACCCAAGCAATTGGGTTGCAAGCAATTGTCAATGTCTGATGACAGAATGGTGCTGGGTTCTCAGTTCCTCTACCCTAACCTTGCTCCCACAGGACTGTCCTTGGCTCACAGAAATCAGGATTACTTAACAGTGCAAGGCACAATTCAGTGAAGAGACACTGATTACATTTCAAGCTTTAATCACTACACTTCAGGTATGTCACAGATGAGATTAATTTATAACCTTTCATGCTATGAAAACAATTTAGACTGAACTGTTCCATGCACACTGATTACATCTATTACTTTCTTACGCACTCAGTAACTTGCACTTTCTTACATTTAAACAATGTTTAGCATTATTAGCAATTCCTTCCTATTCACCTGTAAGCACATCATATTGTATATTTATACGATAAAGATCTGGGAACTTTCAAGTCAGTCTAAAGTTCAGTCCTTAACACAAACTATTATCTGACTTCTCTTGCTTTCCAGATGAGCCTCATAACTTCATTTTTAATATCTGAGGCTAATGTCTCAGGCTCAATATAGAAAACAGAGAGTTTATAAACTACAAACATTAACAGATGTTTAGCATGTTTGCAGCCCCAATGACAAGGTTTATATTTGTCTATGCTTACAATGGCTGAAATTTACTCCTTGCCTTAGAGAATTTGTCTGGTTTTACTTGTGACACCTGATTATCTGAGATGCTTTTCACCACCTTCTCAGAGTGGTAACTCAGACCTCTAGATGGAACCACTAGTTCAGAGAGTATTTAGTTAAACAAGAACTATTTCAAAAAGACAGTCCAAAGCTATGTACAAGCACTCCTAGAATATTTTCATTTATCCTCAACATGTCCTTTCACTGAAAAGTTACATTAGCCCTCAAACCTGGAAGGGCCTTCTCTGTCTTTGAGGAAAGGAGGGAACTAGATCCTTTGAGGTTAATCTATTGTTGTCATTATGATTGTATCATACACATGACAGAAGCTTAAAAATCTGAATGAAAAAATAAGGTGTTTCCTTGAGCTTGAAGCACAGTTCTGAACAAGGGGCTTGTACTATTTTAATTCAGACACTCTCAAGACTTATTAAATGTCTTTAATTTCTTCAAAGAAGAGCTATATTCTAATTCTGCCACCTTTCAGAAAATCAGCTCCTTACAAAGAATCAAATATTGTTAATTTTTGCCTAAGAGCTAGAAATGTAACTTTTTAAAACAGAATTGTCCTGACCTTTCAGAGAAGAGTTTGGTTTGGCACGTTCAGATGATATGAACTATAAAATCATGCATAGGACTTGGCCATATGAGATGACCAATATTCATGGCTCAACCCATTGCAAAGCATTTGAAGTGCAAAGAGAACATGAAACAACAAAATCCAAAAGGCTGTTAGATCTAAGGGGTTATGAGATTTGTCCATGATATAACATCCCCAATCATCTAAGTTGATGTGATCACCCTACGAAACAATCTCACCAGCATGAAGGGTGTCAATCAGGAACAAGATGGTTGGACATTCTGTGAGTGTCATTTTGTCCCCACACTGCTCAGCATCAGAAGCAAATGCTGATTTTGCTTCTATTTTCCACAGGACCTCTAGGGCATGCTCCAATTCACAGTCTGACTGGTATTTTTTGTGGCCTGCTGAGTTGATAAATTCATACAAAAGACTAATAGAAGGTTAACTGAACTACTCAAAAGCTATGGCTTTTGTGGGACACATGTGCAGGGGTTAAGAATAGGGCTGCCAATGTAAGGTTTTGTTGGCAGAGCTGCACTTCACTGTAGGGCAGAGCTCTCATGTAATGACAGCATACAAAAGGGAGAAAAATCCCAGCACTTTAGCTCCTGATGAAAACCAAGAGCAACAGTGCTTGAAACCACAGCCCCAAGTTGTCTGTGACAGTTACTGGGGTATGTCCTTTCAGTAACTCATTTCAGTGGATGGGTTCATACACTGAAGCAGAGCAAAACAGGGAACTGAAGAGGCAAAGAGGAGAAAAGCCATGAAGGGAACCACCAACACCGCTCTCCCCCACCCATCTCCAAGAAAAAAATCTGAAAGAAACAACCAAATTACTCCTCCCATGGCTCCTAAGACTCCATAATCACAGCTCCGTGTTGATGCTTCCTTTCTAGCATTTCTTACAGTGAAGTGGGGAGGCAAAGTGGCAGTGAAAGCTGAAAAATGTGTAATAATAGGATTTGCTCACCTTGTAAAGCAAATAAGGAGGAAGAGAAGGTCTTGCACATGGTTTTCCTGTGTGTTGTCCTGGTCAAACATTAACCTGTTGCCTGTAGTTAATTCATCACAGAGATGTAGTCCAAAGGTGCCTGCAGGAGAAAGGATTGACATTCCTGGTGGACTTCTGGTCCTTCTGAGGAGTGGCAGGAGGGCAGTGAGGGAGGGGATGTGTCCTTCTCTTTGAAAGACAGGAGAGCACAGGACTGGGTGCAAATTTCTCCGGGGGCCCTCACACAGGGTACTTAGATCTGCGAGTTCTACCAGAACTCAACACCAAATCCACAGCCCTGGAAAGTTGCTGAAGCTTCTAACTAGGTGCACTGGGAGAAGCAGCCACCAAGAATTGCAATTACACCTACTCCTCCATCCATCAGATGGAGAGCTGTCTAAGCAGGAAAGTGCTTACACCATAGGCAACATCCTGTTCTCCCAGCCTTTCAGTGGGCCCAACAGCAAGCTTGGAAGCACCTCTCTTACTTACAGTCTAAGGCTTTTTAACCTGGATTTTGCAGGAAGAGGTCCACGTGGCAGCCATATAGCGGAGAGCAGCCTCCCCATGGCTCCAATGAGATGCTTACCCAAAAGTGCCCAACAACAACTCCCAATACGTTTTCCTGGAAGATGCTGGAGCTCAGCACCTTTAAAAATCTGGGCATTTGGGGCTTTCAAACACACTTAAGAGACTGAAATGTAAATTCAAACACACCAAACCTGATGCAGTCATTGATAACATTTCCAGAGATCTTCTGCCTCACACCCAATAAAAATATCATAATTTACTTAGATTTTGAAGACTTTTACCAAGAACTAAGTATTTATAAGGAAACTAGCACTCTTATCCTGCACATGGTGCAGTACCCAGCAGAAGGCAGATTAAAAAGGAGAGGAGTAATTTTTGTAGTGTTTATTGAGAGATGCCTTTATACAGAAGGGACTGATGCTCTGATGCTGTCACAAGTGAATCCAAATAAACCCTGCTCAAGTATCAACACGCAATTCAACTCACCGAATTTAAATTACATTATTACACATCAATAATAAATTAAGACCATTGCCTAGTAGTTGCAGATAATTTAAACAAAATCCTTGTCAAAAGTAAAACAACAACCAAACAACAACAACAAAAAAAACCAAAAAATAAACAAAAGACCAATGAAACACACACAACAATGTTGCCAATAAATTAACAGATGAAGTAGCACACACATATAATTGTTTTCAAACAACTTACGGTGCTGCAGGTGAGCTGGAGCGCTGGTGGGAAGTAAGGCCAGGCCAAAGGAGCCAGTACCAAACCCTGAGCTCTGCCTATCATGCCTGGCTTCCCTCGGCCTCAAACTGCTTCAACTCGACTGGTGCTTATCTGGAAACTGCCTTTACCTCTTCAAATGTGCATTTTGCTCATTAATTCTTACTTTTGCTTGGCTCAAGTACAGAAGGGCCTGGTATAAGCCTACCTAGCATCAGAGGTATCAGTGCCACTCAAAATCAGTCTGAAAACACTTTAGTTGGAGCAAGATCAAGTGCATAAGCAAAACTGAAATAAATCCTTTCTCCACCAGTACAGTGCTATGCATTCAATGATTTACATTGGTTCAACACACATATTAGACAAAAATAAGTTACTGAGCCAATTACAGCTGTGTATGTGGATGAGACCTAACAGACATTGGTCCTGGACAGTTAATAGCCTTCCAGGCCCAAAGTTCTCCAATGCTGCCCACAAGTGGCATTCTGAGCTGACTTAAGGGCCACCTTAGTATCCAGGAAGAAACCTGCATATTAAGATATGACCCAAGCCAGTGTGTGCACACCAGGGTTTTCAAGTAAAGAAGCACTTGGCACACTATCTATCGTCCAGGCTGTCTGCTCACTACACTATTAAAGTGAAGGGAAAACAGTGCCACTGCCAAATGGGGATCCTGCTACTTGGGGTCAAAAGTGGCCTTAAAAGATCCCAGTTAGTACAGACATGTGCCCAAGATGAACACACACAGGATGAGGTTCGCTGTAGACTTTAACAAATAATGCTCATATTTAAGCAGGTTAACTCTCTCCCTAAGGTAATGCTGACAAAAAACCCCAGAGGCTTAGCTTTCACGAAAGACGACTGAATTAAAACTAAAGTTTGAGTAAATGCCCTCACTGCCACAAACCCAGCTTTACCATGTGGAACCCTCTCATCACATGGCACAGGCCAGCCAGCGGTTCCGGGAGGAGCAAAGCTGCAAGTTACCTGATCCTGCCTTAATGCCATTATTATATATCCACAGCACTGATGTTCTCACATTAGCACAACCTCATTTGTATATGAAAAAAAGCCCAGCTAGTCTCCAAAATGAAGGTAATAAAAACAATGCCCTCTCCCCCGCCCCCCAATGCTATCTTTTCTCACATTTCCCTCTCAAAGCACAGATAGTAAACAAATTTTATGCTAACCACTCCTAGCAAGATGGAAATTGCCATGAGCAAGGGTTTAGAGCTCTAACACCAAACATGCTCCATCGTGGCAGAGCATTCCTGACAAAATTCTTCATTGTTGGAAATTTAAGGCACCAGATTAAGCAAAAGTGAGGCATTTCCATGCAGCTTGGTATCTTCAGAGCTGGTATATACAGCCTGCAGAGCATACTTCATGAGGACAGAACAAGCAAATTGATTTATTCAGCTGCCCCAGCAAAAGAGCATGTGCAGCCACAGGAGAGTTCCAGTTTAAGCCTACAAGTTAATCAAACAAGCAGATTCAATCAGGAAATCCAAAACAGGAAGATAGAAACTAATATACAATACTGTAAGGCACTCCTACTGGGAAGGGAAAATTGGAAGGCAAATTATGAAGGAGAAAGCGATCAAACTTGACTAGCTCAAAAGCAAAGTCATCAGCTATGAAGCTGAAGCCTAGCCAGAGGCTCACCACTGTGAGCCAAGGCAGGGACAGAGACAGAAAGAAGGAAAGGAAGAGGGGACTGGCTTGCAGCTGAGCAGCAGAAACAAGAGATAAGATTATGATGATTATTCAAATTAATTTTCTTTTAGCGAGATCAACAGTCAGCTGCAGTACAGATCATGACCTTGGAAAGCCCAGGAAACTCAGTGGCTTCTGTTGCTACAGGGAAAAAGCAAAGTACAACTGTGCAGCTTCCCCATCAGCAGACATCCTCTGTTGTTTTGTTTTTTTTTAAAGTCCTTCAGGACATGATCATAAATCCATTATAATGCACACAGTATCCTAGTGTTATTTACTAAGACGAGACTTCATACGAGCAGCTCTAGAGGTACTCTGACGACTCACTTCTGACAGGGCATACTGTGCAGAATGCAAGATCCTCACCAAAAAGCATCTGCTCTTATCAGAAACCCTCACAACTGCCAGTTCCTAGGCCAAGACACTGTCACACCATAAAACCATCATTTTTCATCAACTAAAAGAGACAAAGATTTCTGGGGGATCCAAAATTCTGCAGATGGATAAAATCAAAAAAGCTGCAGTTTGCACTCTCTAGATATGTGTTTATCTACATTAAAAAGCTAGAAGTTTGGGTTAAGGAGAAAAATAGGGAGAATTGTGTAAGTTTATCTACAGTATTCTGCATTAAATAATCTCAGACTAACTAAATCGAGATGATAATTTTCTAAATAGTTGTAAAGTCAGGCTACAGTCCCTTGCAGTGAAGCATTCTATCTCTACAGTGATTTATAAGCTCTGTACAACAAAGTTAGAGCAGTAACTGGACCTACAAATCAATTTATCCTCCTCCTTAAGTAAAGGGAGCACCTTCTTTGTGAAGGAGACTAACAGCACATTTTATTTTTGAATCACAGTGAAAGGCTACTGTTCAAATTTATTTCTTGCATGGGCAGGATGGGACTAGAAGCACATACACACAAATTCCACCTCTGTCCACGTGTGTGGGGGACAGAAATGCATAATTTGGAAAGGCCCTAGGTACTTTTCCAGCTGGTGCCCACCTAGAAGTCTGCAGAGCGTAAACAAGGCTACGGAACAGGAAAACAGTACATTGGTGACCAGTGTGCACCACTACATTACACTAGCAGAGAAGTCATGCAAGATACAGTGTTATACAAAATCCAAACCACCTACAGAAGCATGGACAGTGCTTCCAGCAAGCAGGAAAACCATCCTTTTGAGGTCTTTCAAGAGTTAGCAACATGAACGGTAGTTTCTATTTATTCTTTCACCCTACAGCCCTAAAAATTGAAAAAGGCTCATTCCTACTTCACCAACAATTCCTGAAGGCAGGACTGGGCCTTTATGCTCTTGAAAGGCAGAAACAGAAGACTACATCCTACTCATCCATATGGAATAACTTCTTTTGGATAGGAGCTAGGCATCCCTGAGAGAAAAGCATCCGCTTTACAGTCTGCTCTTATAGCTACAGGAAGAAGCTCTATTACTTTTTCAAGGTAGAAAAATGCATCCATTTCATTTACAATTACACTGGATTAAAAATAGTAATTTCCAATGTATATTGTACATTATCCATTCACAAAAAGCTTTGGGTGCTGCCAGCATATCAAAAAACATGCTTTTGCTCTGCTCCCTGTCCTTAGCAATGCAGAGGTTCCAGACTCACCACTAATTCCAATGAATTTTCTGACAACAAAAGCTTTTTTCCCCTCTAAGTCTCAGATAACAAAGTAAAACTGTTCTGCAATAGCTGTACAAATTGAGAGCAACTCCAAAGCTGTCCACTGTTACTCCAGAATTTTACTAGAATATCCAGCCACTCTCATCACTGACACTTTAGACATCATGGCATCTATAAAAGTAATCAATACTTTGCAATGCCTAATTTCAATTCCTTGATGCTGTAGGGTATTCCACAGTGCACACAAGAACACTTTTCTAAATCGGAACATGAACTGGTGCCATAAAGTATCTTAAGTTCTAAAGCATTATGACATGGAAAACATAACTTTCTTTTTTTTTCTTTAATGACCCATCATTATGTCTAGAGTTAAATCAAAATAGTACTTGCCAGATTCCGACAGTCTGAGTTACTGGCTTTGCCACAGGACGGGCTGTAGTGACACACATTGAAAAACGTGGGAGTGTACTGTTTATTCAGCCAGTACCACTGTAATTCCTGTTTACATGACTAATTCCACAAGACTTGCTCAGTGTTTGCATATATGAACATGCAGGGAGTTCTTCACGTGGGAATGGACTTGGAAGGAACATTATATCCTTAAGGATGACAGCTGAAAATAACTCATTTCACATGAAGAACAGTGAGCTGCGTGAAACACAGATGTCCCTGTGTAAAGGAAGTATTAATTTTAGTGACAAAGGTGCATCGTTCACCAAGTTTATTAAATATAGGAATCCCTATACTACTCTGCCAAGAACATGGAAAAACCCTCACTTCCTTCCAAAGAGTCCCAATGGGAGAAAGACTTCTGGAAAAGAAAGGCACTGGTTGTCTAGTGTATACAGATATAAACATGCTTCTATATATATATATAGCAGTCATGCTGAAATTTGAGAAAGCTCAGATTCAGCTACTTTCTTCAAGGGAGGCTGGAAAAAGCAACCACTTACACTCCAATACAAGGCAGTTTGTAGCTTTCTAGCCTCTAATGTAAGATGATGTACCCTGCTCTTCTATTTAAAATACTTAGCAATTAGTGAGCTGCTTCAATGATCAATACTGCTTTCTACCTTGAATACAACAGCCTGCATATCATATAGGAAGCAAAGATCAGTATCCTGCATTTTAACAAACCTATGTGTGAGAAGAAAAATGCACATGCATGTGACTAGCTTTTTTCTTCTGAAACCATATTTGCTTTCTGCATATATATATGTGTGTATATATATACATGAATGCATTAATATGTATGTAATACACATATTACTGCAGGGTCTGGAGAAAGAGTTAAGAATACGAGCTGGAATGAGGAAGATCTCTAAGTCCTCATTAAAGGTGAAATCACACGAACTGAACACTATCAGCGATGATACGCATCACTGCAATAAAATCCATCATGTACTTCTCTGTCATAATATATTTATCATCTTTAGTACTTTCCCATGTTCCATGTGTATGAGGCAAACCCATACCTTGAGGAAGTTTGCTCTCTACTAGAGAAATCACTAGAGAAGTATAAACCCCCCTAAAGCTCCCAGAGAACTCAGGACACACGTTTGACATGAACATAGCAAACTAATGTTTCACAAATTTGGAGGTATATTCTAGGTAACTTGGACAAGAATGCTTTCCCAACTATTGATCTAGTAGGTTCAGGTCAGATGAACATGCAAAGTAAATTTCACCTCATAAAAACAAAACCAAGGTGGACAGTTAAAAAGTTCTTCAAACACAAGACTAGCAAGAGGTTGGAATGTCATGTTACTGCAGATGAGGATGTGACCCCACACAGATCAAGAATAAGCAGTGTAAAGCAGAATGGACTTCAGTGACGCAGCTTGACAGATATATAGTTAGCATAAACAAAAAACAGCAGCAAGTACCCTGCTTATCTGCTTATGTAATATTCCACTGAGTAGTTATAAATATGTAAACACAGCTAAAGAAATTATTCTGCATCTTATGCTAGCAAACATCCTGAATTAGGTTTGATGAGAGGTACTTTTGTTTCCTCTGCAAGGAGTGACATGTAAATGCACTGATCTTTTAAAAATAGCTCTCTGGAAACACAGGGAAATGGAACCATGTGTCCGTATCAAAAGGAACAGGAGGACTTAAAATCATTCCTGCCCTATTCTGTGACACACTTTACCAGAACCTCTGCGAAGGCTAATAATAAATAATACACATAAATAAGTAGATGATTGGTCAATTCTAAATGAACAACATCAAAAATAATGCATTAATGGCAGCAAATACTTTCTGCCTTGAGGAAAGGTCTTCTCCAGAGGTGGAAAAGAAAAAGATAAGTGCTTAATTAGCTAGACATAAAGCATTTCAAGTAAACCGTGTTTTGCATGAGAGCTAGCGGCTGAACTTCAATGCAAAATGCAGTTTAGCCACAGATAATCCAAAGCCGACAAGGCTTTACGGTTACTTTGGCAGCTGCTATTCATAGCTGAAGAAGATCAAATATTGTTTTGCAAAAAAGATTTCTGCCTAGCTAAGCTGAGAGATTGCTTGAGCTGGCAGCTGGGGAAGAGGTTCTCTTCAGGCTTGCCACTGCCTTGAGGAACTCATGTGTTCTGATATGACAACTCAAACATGTTGCAAGACTCTTCAAAATTTTCATCCATATTCAGTCGCCTCCAGAAGGACTTCTGCTTCTTCTGCAATTCTTTACGCACACACCTGGGACACGGTACAGCCTTCACTTTGCATTCAGAGTGGAAGACAGCACCACAGCTTTCACACCTGCAAACACAAATTAGCGTCAAAATTGAATGACAAAATAAGACCAGAGCATGCAACGGACTTCACATCGACCGTGGACAGTAGGCATTCCTTCAAATTCTGGTAGCTCAAAAGAGCACGCTACATTTCAAAAGTGCGCAGTATCAAAGGGCAGTGTCTTGCTCACATCTCTGATGGTGTAAAGCTACTCAGGAGCACTTGCATCCATATGTACTTGCTGAGAATCTGTTTCAGTGTTTCTCCTTCACCTTACAAGGATTAATATTTATCTCTTCTTATTAATTAGCATTCAGGCTATCACAGGATATATATAATTTTTGATTTATGAATGAAAAGTTTGCTACTCTGGTCTGTAATGAAGAATAACATTATTCATTTCCAGTAAGATACACTTCAGAATTTGGAACAGTCAAGATGTTTTGTCAATGAAGTTCCAGGGGTCAGCTGTTCTCGAAGGAGTAAAATAGTCCACTTCAACAGCAGGAAAAGAAATCATTCCAAACAGTAAAAATAATGGGGAAAGGCAGGAAGTATTTTCTGCTGTGTCCCACAGAAGAACCAGACAAGATGGTAATGGATGTAATGTCATAGTAGATCAAGCCTCCAATTCCACATGGCTGTGGAGCACTGAAATGTCTGGCAACCCTGGAGCGAGCTAGAGCTAAGCAGATGGACATTTTCTCAGCTTTTTGATGCAAGTAACTGTATAATGACAGTAAGTCACTGCATTGCTGCAGTTCCACAACCAAATGAAAATAAATAAATAAATAAATGGATGACAGCATCAGAATTACAAAGTCTTAGATTACTGTTGTGTAATCAAACAAAGGAAGCAACAGAACAGAACTAGAGCAGCTCTTGAATGTAAACGAGGCATGCTTGTCAGGCTGGTGATTTCTGTCTCGCAATGCCTCATTCTCCCACAGCTACCATAGTCTATACGAGAATCTTGGCATCCATTTTTATACTCTTACTGTTATTTTTTTCATATTTTTGGGTTGGTTTTTTTTTTTGCTTGTTGAGGAAATTTTCTTATTGTTTGAAATAAAGTTATCAACATTATGAAGAAAAAAAAGAAAATATGAAGCAGCAAGCCTCAAATGCTGAGAAGCCATAAGGCAAATAAAAGCCACTTTTAAAAGAAATAGCAGTACTTGGCATGCAGTCTGGAAAGAATTATGGAGAACTCCATAAGTTAACACAATCTGTTTTGTTAACTATGATAGCCACATCTGCATTTCACCTATAACTTTTAAGAAGTGGTTCTTGAGCTGGCTTTAGGACTTACTTATGGGTCCAAAGATAGACTAATAGTAACAGATGAGCTTTGAGATGGCTATACAGAGGTCTGAAGAGGCAGACTTCTAGATAGCACAAATTGACAGAATTCAACTAGCAAGATTAAAGAACTGAAGTACAATGCTAACTACTGTGCTCTGTTGTGCTAGAACTTGACATACTCTCATTAATGCGTCCAGCTCGTGAGTCTGAAACTGTTTTTGAAGCAAGAAAGTGGCTCACAGAGATATTTCTCTTTCTGAGCACACAAATGATAAAGTATGTTATGGCTCTGACTCAGTGAAGCACATAAACACGTGCTTGTGACTAGCATCACGGTGATCTCCTTGCAATTACTGATTTGAGTAAAATTAAGCATGCACTTATGTGCTTTGCTGAAATGGGATCTCTACCAACAGACACTGTAATGGATGAAGGAAAGACATAGAGGACAGACGTGTCTTTAAAACTTTACATCATTCTGACCTGACACTAATGGTGATTTTATCAAGCTAATTTTCCCTTGTTAGTCAGCAATTTGCTGCACTCTGGAAGTTGCTAGAGAATAATGATTGATGAGCAGTGTAATTTTGTGCTTTTGCACTGCCACTCCCTATGCTCATTCAGTATTTCTCCACACCACTTGATGAGGTGACAAAAGTTATCAAAACTTGCTGCTAGAATGGTTGCCAGAAGGATTAAAGGAGTCAGCACACCTGCTCCTCCCAGTGAAAGGTCATCAACAGAGAAAACAATGATTTACGGCATTTAAATTAATATTAATTCGTGTTTCAGAAGTAAGCAGTGGAAAAAAGTAACAAACTTCTTTCATTCCTGCTCCAAACCAAAAGAAAAAAAGACTGCACTTTTACTAGGGATGGAACAACAAGCCAAAGCTCTGACTGGGTGGGACCCCACACTGTGAGGCATTCAGCAGAGGCAGTGCAAACAGCCTGCCCTGCAACTCACAACCCACACCACTGCTTCACTGTGGAAGAGCCCTGGAAAAGCCTGAAGAACAGAGCTCTGAGGAGAAGTGCAAACTACCTCTTGCTCTCCAGAGGGACAAGGAGAGAGAACGTCTGAGTGAGTTCTCACTGTATACTTCTATCTTCTCACTGCTGAAGAAACTCAGTCACATGAGGCTAATATTGAACTTGCACTTGCATGGATGGCAGATTACTCTTTGCCCAAGCCATCTGTGCCTTTGCTTTTCACTGTATCAAATCCAGTCAGTTTCAAATGATCCTGGTAATTTCAAATGGTCGACCATTCCTACTCACCCTGGGAGAAAATTTTCAGTGATAACAAAAAAACCCTTCCAAATTATATTCTATTTTAGAATATTACAAGCAGATTTCTTCTTCTTTAATCCTGAAGTCTAGTTTTATCACCATTGTAGCATCAAAAATGGAAGGGCCATTAGTGCTAAGAACAGTCTGTTGTTCCTGCTTCATCACGTATTCTGAAGTCTTTTCCTTGCCATGAAGAACTTGGACAGATAGACACTGCTCTTCAAATAATATATTTGCGTATCTAGCTGCACAAGCTTCTTTCTCCAGATGTTATGAAACAGAGGCATTAAATCCTAGAAAAGCAGCAAGAGTCTCTCTCTCACTCAAATGATTTGATGTAACACGCAGGACTTGCAGGTTCAGATGGCTACACGCTGGCAGAGTATCTCTCCAAGTGCAGGAACCTGCACTCCATAAGGCTTATCAGGCACTAAAGTGCACATTAGTGCTGAGCTGCACTTAGGTGTTGATCCCATATTTGTTCTGCATCACTATCTTTGGAGTTGCAGAGCTTGCACTTAAAGTCGCTGGTAAACTCTGTCTCTGCTATTAGACTGACATTTTTCCCTTTGTGCACAGCTCCAAGTAAGCTCCTTTTTGATGACACTGTGTTTTTACACATGCGAAAACTCAAATACCAAGTGCAACAACTTAATTGCTCCATCAATTGCCTTTCTGCTGAAACTCCACCAGGAAGTCATGGGTACAATGATGGGGAAAGCAAAGAAAAGAATCCAGGAGCTGGATTAGCAGCAGCTTTACTTTGTGAAGGGAACAGCAGCACCTGTGTTAGGAAAAAAGGGTGTTCCACATGCACTTCTAAATTGATACTGCCTTTTGAAAACCGATCTCACAGAGCTATTTCTAAGCCTTTCCTCATATTCTTTTGTAGAGTTTTTGACAGAAAAAAAACCAGCATGGGTGGAGTTCACAAACAAAACAAAACAAAAAAAAAACAGACAAGAATTGCCTTTGCTACTTTTTAAGAAGGTAGAGAACAGAATAAAAATTACAAAAAGCAGCTTTTTTTTTCAGGCTGGCAAACTGAATATCTGCACAAAAGTAAACACATAGATGCCTTTATGTGGCTAATACTTCCCTGATGAAGGATGAAGAAAAATGTCAATCTTCCTGCCTGTAACTGCCAGCCAGTTGTTACTTACTGAGACCACTACCAAAACTGTTCTCTGACTCCCTAAAAACACTCTACAACTAACTCTTCACATGTGAGTTTCACAGTTTTTCTTTGCTGCTGTTTTCAACCCTCAGTATGCCCAAAAGCTTTTATTTTCCTGGAAAAAAAAAAAAAAGATTTTGTGATTTACAAAAGGCTCATGTAATAGTTACTATGTATACTCATTTTTTCCTTAAACCTCATTGTTTTCATAGGTAACTTATGGTTCAGGTACTACTGTATCTCAAAATCTCTGCATCTTTTGTGAAATTTCTATATGCCACAGTTAATATACGATGAGTCCACAGCCATTCAGGCTTTTCTTGTTTCCTTATGTAATAAACGATACTGCACATTAATAGCATCTTGCTATTTCTCAAACATTATCTGAAGAATTGGTGAACACTGACTGTTACTCACATACTGACTTTCAGCCTCTTCAGACAGCATCTGAAATTGTTTCCTCTCTATTTTGATGTTTTCTCTCTTTTCTCTTTTACTTGACCAATTCTATCAAGATGACAAAGGGTGTTTCATGTTTTAATGATATTTTACTTGTTTGAAAACTGAAGTAATATAAGTGCAAAGAACTATTCATTTCTCTAAATAATCTCTATCGCACTGAAAAGTATGCTAAGAGAAGGGCCTCAGCTCTCCATAGCCAGACCAGCTAGACAGGCATTATAATGCTCTTCTTATTATCACTAGTTACAAAAGAAAAGCCTTCCTACACTAAAAGCACAAAACCACTCCTTATGTGCTGAAGAAATGTCCACATTATTATCTGAGCCTGGACATTTGAAACATAAGGATGTCAATTTTTGGTAAACTGTAAATTCTGGTAAATCCCTCACATTGCACAGGCTCATGCGTCAAATAATTCTAGATTCTGCTCTACCAATTGATCATATTTCTATTTATCCTCACATTGTGCCATTATTCAGGTCCTCTCACAGGTACGATCAGAGGGGGCACTCCCAAAGGAGGGGGTGCAACTCAAAAGAGGACTGCCTCAAAGAGCTTCCAACTTAAACAGCAAAATAAACTGGGGATGATCAATTCATGACCCACAGTATAATATGAAAGACAGTTTTGTCTTCTAGGAATCTTACAGGTTGGGAGGATAACCATTGTGACTGTTGGGATGAAGCTGCTGGGACCAGCCAAGTTCATTAGGATTGCTTTAGTACCACAGCACATGGGCTGCACCAGTTCTGGCTTCCAAATACCAAGCTGGGAATCATGGCTATGCT